GTTCTCTTGGCGTCTACCGTGACTTCTTGGTGTTCAGCGACCGACTACACAGGTAATAATAATATCCGCTAAATGTCATTGCATTTTTAAGTCTTCTTAAGTATAGCAGGTTTTGAGTTATAGAGGTTGATCAGTATTTCATAGCTATCCACTTATATATTGGATGCATAGCATCATTAGCTAATTTTCCCCATATCTCTTYAAGGGATGGCTTGTGTGTTGAGTAAGCGACCCCATATGCATGGTATTTAAACATGTGATATGTATTCCATTAATTAGTCTAAACAATGGATTAACTACAAGGAGTTCCGTGTGGTGCCTATAAAAGCTAGACTGGGAAACGATGCCGCGAATATTTGTAGGCGTAACGTATCTTACCGTAACTACACGTGGTGATTGGATGAATTACATCGGAAAGACAATGGGAAACCATTTTATTGTTACTTCATGAAGTACCGTGTACGTGCTGTAAGTTCGTGGTATATGTTTTGTACTCGCGCGAAAACCGCATTGCTACCAAATGCACACGATACGGTACGATTCTCACTACTGAGAAAATTTTAAAATTTCTTTAAGTTGAAATTTTGTAAGGTTAAAAGGTTTCCACGACAAAAACTCCGCCCTGTCTAAATATTTTGACGTAACAAGCATATAAAACGAGAGCCAAAGCCCAAAAATCAAGTAACAAAATAGTCACGTCATGGCTTAGGATAACGGCACTTCCGAGGTTTGAGTAGCTCGAGCAGGGAAAACACGGTGAACTCTAAGGTTTCTAGAGCACCTCACATCTTGTAGACCRTAAACCGGCTCCCCCGGAGCGGTTGAACTGGATTTGTTTTGCATGTTAAAGTCAACCGCATACGTTGTGATATCCTTTAATACCCAGATGGCGAGGAATAATTTTAATGCCTTGTCTGCTTGCACTACGTGCATTCCTTTGCGCCCTCATATCATTTCCCTCCTCCGTTTCACCCTGAGGGAGGGAGACACGGAARACGTAAGCGCAAAGGATAATATATTCTCAACTGCTGCGAAAGGGAATAGTAATAATACTAAAGGAAGT